ATTTCAAGTACGCCACAATCGTCAATCTTTACAGGCGGAAATACAATCGTCAGCTCCGCGACAACCATCGATGCATCTCTTTACTGAACATCGCCGGGAAGCTCTTCGCTCGCATTCTCCTCAATCGCCTGACCAACCATCTGACAGTTCGACCGTCGATTTCGACGATGTCCACCGTGTGCCCCACAGCTGCAGCAGCGGTGGGAGCAGGGACGGTGACTTGCGCAGGGGTTTATAGTGCCAGTAGACTTGCGCTGCATCTACCTACACTCTTTCCTCCTCCCCCGCCTGGGCCCGGTGTCAAGACAGAGTCAAGAAGACCGGAGACGAGGGAGGCCGCAGGTGGATGGCTCGGACGGATCCTTACCTTGGCATTCCACCACACCCCCTGGTCCACACAACAATAACCAGGATTTCAACCAACACAGCAGAGATTTGGAGGCTGGCACGGACGAAGCCGCACCTGGGCGTGCCGCCAACGCCCGGCTCTGATCCCACACTGTGGTTGGAGTGCCATAAAGGCCACATTAAAAAGGAGCCATTGCAGCCTGACTCTCAGACCGCCTTCAGTGAAGGCGGAGGTCCAAGGTACCCCGTCAGTTGGCAACCTTCCAAGACACGGCTTTTAGCGCACCGTGATAGCTTCAAGCGCGTCAGATTGATTATAGTGAGGAAAATGCGCTGAGTCGTCGACCTCACTCTCCCTTCCCATTCCCACACCCCAGCCACTGTCCCAGCCGGTCAGTAGACTGGAGTGAGGAATGGGCGCGGTGGCTGACATGGTCGACTGACCATGCCTGCGCGCGCCACAGCACGACCTGGCCCCCCATACAAACACAACACCAGGATTTCACACAACGGGGGTTGAACGGCGCGTCTCTCACTTGCGTGAGAGTGCCGTGGAAGGTGCTGTTGTAGCCCGTCCCCAGCCCATCATTCCGCCACTACACAACACACACACACACACATACACACACACACACACACACACACACACACACACACACACACACACACACACACACACACACACACACACACACAAAGTGACGATCTGCGTGAACCGAGAGCGGGCCTCAATCAGCAACCTTCCTATCCACGACGCTTGACGTGTCGGGATAGTCTCGGACACAAGTCACCCGTGCAGCCGAAGCCGCATGGGGACCGAGTCGAGATGTGGACTTCCAACTTGCGTGGGAGGCGGCAGTTGAGAGCATGAGGTGTGTGAGGGTTGATGTCTGGTGGGGTGATGGTGTTAGGAGGTAGGGAGTAAGGGAATGTGTGGTGTGACCGGCGGTTGTCTACCGCAGGTCGTCGTGGATGCGCATGTGGCCGAATAGACCCATGCGATGCGTGAAGGTGCGAGGGCAGTGTGGGCAGTGAAGGCGAGTGCGATGGGTGTAGGTTGGTGCTCCAGGCACTGGTTCGCCAGTCTCTGTGCGATGGATTCGCAAGTGACCGACCAGGCCGATGCGTGAGGTGAAGGTGCGTGGACAATGTGGGCATGAGAGGTTGGCGGTGTCGGTGTCAGCTGTAGAGGAAGCAGTGGTGTTGGTGGTGGTGGCGGTGGTAGTGGTGGTCGGCGCGTGTGACGGTGGAGCGAGGATGGGTCCGGGCGTGGTGGATGTGCTGGATGTCGTGGCTGTATTGGAATTGTGGTCAGTTCCGCTCTCGTGGATGCGCATGTGGTCGAATAGACCCATGCGATGCGTGAAGGTGCGAGGGCAGTGTGGGCAGTGGAGGCGAGTGCGGTGAGTGTAGGTTGGTGCTCCAGGCACTGGTTCGCCAGTCTCTGTGCGGTGGATTCGCAAGTGACCGACCAGGCCGATGCGTGAAGTGAAGGTGCGATCGCAGTGAGGGCAGATGTAGTCCTGGCCCTCACGTCTGATGATGGAGGTTGCAGGGGTTGTGCCTGTTGTTGTGTCAGGTTCGGCTGTGGTGAGGTCGTGGGCGACGACGCCGAAGCGGCCGTCGTTGTGGCAGTGATGGAGGAAGAGGAGGAGGAAGGGGAGGAGTGAGGGGTGGTAAGGTCGGTGGCGTCGGCTGGGGAGTGATTAGTGGGTGCACAAGGTGGTGGATTGGGCGTGGGGCTCGGCGGGGTGGGTGTGTCAAGGCTGCGGTCAATTCCGCTCTCGTGGGTGCGCATGTGGCCGAATAGACCCATGCGATGAGTGAAGGTGCGAGGGCATTGTGGGCAGTGGAGGCGAGTGCGGTGGGTGTAGGTTGGTGCTCCAGGCACTGGTTCGCCAGTCTCTGTGCGATGGATTCGCAAGTGACCGACCAGGCCGATG